TGAGTGATTTGATGTTGCCCGAGGGGCTGATCTTGATTCATGTTGTGCCCGAGGGATTGATTACGAGTGACTGTTGTTGACACCCAATTTTGTGCTCATGTCGAAGAAGAATTAGATAGAAAACCGTGGTTTCATGATATCAAGGAATACTTGGCAAAAGGAGAATACCCAAAACTCGCAAACGCTACTTAGAAGCACATGCTTCGGATGTTATCCAACAATTTCTTTCACAGTGGAGGAATCCTGTACAGGAGGACTCCTGATTTGGGATTACTAAGGTGTGTCGATGCAAAGGAAGCATAGGCTATTAGAGGAAATTTATGTAGGGACCTACGGTTCACATATGAATGGTTTTGTCTTAGCCAAGAAAATACTCCGAGCTGGTTACTTTTGGATGACTATGGAAATAGACTGCATCCAATATATCCGAAAGTGTCACTGCTTCTAGATACACGCAGACATGATAAAGGTGCCTCCAGACGAGCTTAATGCGACAAGCTCGCCGTAGCCGTTCGCTGCATGGGGAATAGATGTTATTGGACCAATCGAACCCGCCGCATCAAACGGGCACAAGTTCATCCTAGTAGCAATTGATTATTTCACCAAATGGGTTGAAGCAGCATCTTACAGAGCAGTGACTAAGAAAGTTGTGGCAGACTTCGTCCGCGGTCGTATCGCTTGTCGATTCGGGATCCCGGAGTCAATTGTCATTGATAATGGTTCCAACCTCAATAGTGACCTGATGAAAGCCATGTGTGAAACCTTCAAGATCAAACACATGAATTCTACAGCCTACAAACCTCAGATGAATGAAGCCGTAGAAGCCGCCAATAAGAATATCAAGAAGATATTGAGGAAAATGATAGAGAAGCATATATAGTGGCATGAAAAGTTATCATTTGCTTTATTGGGGTACCGCACCACAGTCCGCACATCAACCGGGGCAACCCCCTATATGCTCATTTACGGTACATAGGCCGTCATTCCCCCTGAGGTAGAAATTCCCTCCCTAAGGATCATAGAAGAAGTTGAGCTCGACGATGCAGAGTGGGTAAAGAGTCGTTACGAGCAGCTGGCTCTTATCGATGGAAAAAGAATGAATGCAATTTGCCATGGTTAACTTTATCAGAACAGAATGTCCAGAGCCTTCAACAAAAGAGTCAAGCCGAGACAGTTCACACCGGGGCAGCTGGTATTAAAGAAAATCTTTCCACATCAAGATGAAGCCAAAGGGAAATTCTCTCCCAACAGGCAGGGTTCGTACATGGTTCATCGGGTTCTAACAGGAGGAGCCCTCATACTTGCAGAAATGGACGGAGAAGTCTAGCCAAAGGCGATCAATTCAGATGCAGTCAAGCGTTACTATGTTTAATCTATATGCTTTTCTATATGATGCAAATTGAACTACGCCTGACCTGATTCCCGTTTAAGAGAGGATACGTAGGCAGCCCTATGGGTTCAGTCACAATTCAATAAAACTTTTATTTCCCCCCGCAATTGGAAACTGGGGTAGAATTTTGAGGAGGACCCTTAAAATTCCGAAGTTAATTTCAGCCAATCATCATTAGCAGCAGTCGAAAGCATCAATCCATTAAATTGGGGTAAAATTTTGAGGAGGACCCTCAAAATTCCGTAACAAGAAGGGTTGCAATGTCTTGAACCACGTTGCAGTCGTTGGTTCATCAAAATAAAATTATTCTTAATTATGTATTTATGTATGCCTTTACTAAATCATGCATTGCCTTGTTTGGCAACGCTACCCCAATGATACATGCAGTATCATCAGATTAAAGCCGAGCAGGTCAAGCAGAGCGAGCGGGAATACGAACTAACCTCCCCTTTTTTTACAAAACTCACGATTTTTCTTTGGATACAGGCACTTGAGTTGCAAAATCATCAAATATACTATACACTCACGAGACTCACAAAGTTCAGGAATACAACTTTCCGAACCATTGCACTTTATCACAACTGCTATCCACACAAAATAGTGTCCCCAACAGGCACAATGTCCCAGCAATCATGATACCGCAATCCACTATCAGCTAAGAAAACTCTATTGCCATTTGTCGTTTTTACTTCTTGCATAAGGCTACCGTTATGCCTTCCGAGACTAACCTCTGTCTCCATCTGCATTTTCTTGCATTGCATAAGGCTACTATTCTGCCTTCCGAGACTAAGCTCTGTCTCCATCTGCATTGCATAAGGCTACCATTCTGCCTTCCGATACTAAGCTCTGCCTCCATCTGCATTCTTGCATTGCATAAGGCTACCATTCTGCCTTCTGAGGTTAAGCTCTACCTCCATCCGCATTTCTTGCATTGTATAAGGCTACCATTCTGCCTTCCGAGGTTAAGCTCTACCTCCATTTGCATTGGCTGAAAGATCACCACCTTATTTACATTCGCATCGGTTGAAAGATCGCCACCTTATTTACATTTGCATGGCTGAAAGATCACCACCTTATTTACATTTGCATGGCTGAAAGATCACCACCTTATTTACATTTGCATGGCTAAAAGATCGCCACCTTATTTACACTTGCACGGCTAAAAGATCGCCCCCTTATTTACATTCACATCGGCTGAAAGATCGCCACCTTATTTACACTTGCACGGCTAAAAGATCGCCCCCTTATTTACATTCACATCGGCTGAAAGATCGCCACCTTATTTACATCTGCATGACTGAAAGATCGCCACCTTATTTACACTTGCACGGCTGAAAGATCACCACCTTATTTACATGTGCATGGCTGAAAGATCGCCACCTTATTTACATTTGCATTGGTTGAAAGATTGCCACCTACTGCATTGCATAGGCTGAAAGATCGCCAGACACTGCATCTCATGGGCTGAAAGATCGCCAAATTATCCGAAGGCATCATTGTTCGGAGTCACCATTCGGAGTCACCATTCTCTTATCCCGAGAACACCATTTCATGGCCTGCGAATTCTTTATTATACGCTTCATGACCCAGGACGTCATGGTCTTAGGACGTCATCCTAATTGTCCAAAAACAACTTTCATGGTCCAATGGGAAGTTGCATCATGTTTAAATTTACGCACAATATATGCTTGTATCGCTTACTTGCAGGTAAACCAGCGAGCAACAGCCATCCCGGCAGGAGAAAGCCCTCTCTAGTTCCACAGCCATATCAAACCTTAACCATTCTCACAAGTCGCCCACTTACCCCATCCCAGATATAGCGCCCGTTCTTGGAAAGTCTCCATTGGCATACTCCGCCGACAGATCCTGAACTACATATGGCTTGATTCCTGTAAAACTAGGGATATGTAGGCAGCTCAGAAGCCAGGGCCCGACCTAACTTCTTCGAACCGTTTCGTTCGGTCAAAATTGGCCATCATGTCTTTACCCGTAAACTCTTTCATCCTTCCCGGGTAAAGAGGGGCAGCTGTGACACCCAATTTTGTCCTTCTATACCCGAATTTATTCTAATGAGCTACTATTTTATTTAAGAGTCATAACTCCATTTATAACATTTTTGTGTATTATTACATGCACTACAACTTCTTTATTATTAATATTACTACTACTACTACTTTTACTATTTTTGAATTTTATAACTTTTGTTTTTACTACGTATTAGGAGCTGCTTAGAGGATAAAGGGGTCTCGGTTGACTATATTAGGGTGATTAAAGACATGTATGCTGGAGCTAAGACTCGGGTTAGGACAGTAGGAGGCGACTCTGAACACTTTTCAGTTGTTACGGGGTTGCACCAAGGGTCTGCGCTCAGCCCATTCCTATTTGCCCTGGTGATGGATGCACTGACTCATCATATTCAAGGGGAGGTGCCATGGTGCATGCTATTTGCTGATGACATTATTCTAATTGACGAGACACGAGGCGGCGTCAACGAGAGGCTAGAGATTTGGAGACATGCTCTTGAGTCTAAAGGTTTCAAGTTGAGCAGGACGAAGACGGAATACTTCGCGTGCAAATTTGGAGTTGAGCCGACGGAAGCGGGAGTTGAAGTGAGGCTTGACTCTCAAGTCATTCCCAAGAGGGGTAGTTTCAAGTAC